TTCTCATAGAAAACATTCCTTTATTTTTGAAAAGAAATAGAACTGCATTCAAAGATTTCCAAAAAATTGCTTGCTACACCCGGGAATCGAACCAACTAAAATCTGTTAAAAATTCACCCTGTATTTTTATTACATCAATCGTTAGGGTTAAGTATAAGGATGAAATCTCTCTAACAAACTTGATAAATCAAATGAAAGGAAAACCATGAATCCTTAAATTATTTTAATTATACTACAGAAAGTTGTACGGTATGGTAGTGAATTTTCGTAAAATTTTCGAAAATCTTTGAATGCAGTTCTCTTTCTTTTCAAAAATAAAGGAATATTTTCTTTCAGTAAAATTTTCTATCTACAGTATTGAGAGTACTTTCCCTCCAGGTGGCATTACAAAATTCCACCCTGTATATGTGTGGCATACCCACAAACATTTCTACAATAAGTGACAATGATGTGAACTCTACGGGTATTATACATATTTTCTTATTCCAGGAGTGCTGATGCATATATTGGGTACCATCGGCATCACAGCAGGTGCCCACAGACTGTGGTCCCACAGATCATACAAAGCAAAACTTCCCCTGCAAATAATGCTCATGGTATTTAATAGCATAACCTCTCAAAAGACAGTGATAAATTGGTCAAGAGACCATCGCGTCCACCATAAATGTTCCGATACCGAAGGAGACCCTCACAACGCCAGCCGTGGATTCTTCTACTCGCATATGGGTTGGCTGATGACCAAAAAATCGGAGGAGGTTATAAAACAAGGGAAAGTTATAGATGTGTCTGATTTATACAGCAATCCTGTCATACGCCTCCAGAATGAGTAAGTGTAGTTCTAACTTGTAATTAAAAAAAAAAACTATGTAAAGTTTGTGGTAATTAAAATTCAAATAGTTATTCAGTACATAGGCCCTTTCCAGGGCACTTATACACGTCCCAAATATAGCTTGCCCTACCACCACATCAGGACACCATATGGGCTGGTGCTGAGAAGAAGTGGCGGAAGAAACTCAGTTACGTTTGTCAGCCTCTTTTTCAATAAAATAGCTTACATGACACGCATAGAGTGTGAGCTAGGCAGCTAAAATCCACGCACTGTTGTCATTTAAATAATTAGATAATGAAACATAAATGATGATTTGGAAAACCATAATAAGAAGTTGTAAAATTGGCATTTGACAGTGATACATAGTTAGAGGGATATTTAGACATTAGTATACGAGTTAGCTTCTTAAAAAAAAGAAACGTTTTCCCCTGCTGTGTGGTTGCTTCATTTACTACTAACTAATACTTTCTTAATCTCATTGCAGTTATCCGGCACCTATTATTGGAACACTCTGCTTCGTTCTCCCGACTGTCATACCGATGTACTTCTGGGGTGAAACCTTCAACAACGCTTGGCATTTGAACATGTTGCGTTTTGTCGTGACCCTACACATCATCTGCTGTGTCAACAGTGTTGCCCACTTCTGGGGTTACAAACCGTACGACAAAAAACTTCGACCTTGCCAAAATCCCATTCTAAGTTCTGTCGTTCTTGGGGAAGGATTCCACAACTACCACCATGTGTTCCCGTGGGACTACCGGGCTTCTGAGCTTGGAAACAAATACCTGAACCTCTCTACTATGTTCATTGACTTTTTTGCTTGGGTTGGATGGGCTTACGATCTCAAGGCAACATCTGAAGAGATTATTAAGAATCGAAAAGAGCGAACAGACGATGGCTCGGATCTGTGGGGACACGCTGATTGAACTATGTTTATTTCTTAATATTTTATACTATTGATGACGAAATATAGTTTTAAAATCATGTTGTTTTATTTTCTCAAAGACAATAATTATGTCATATATTAACGACACCATTGTAAACTGAATACTGCATTTAATAACATTTATGAAAATATTATGAATAAAAATAATTGTAATAAAATATGTTGTTTTTCAATATACACCAATCATTTTCCTAACACCAGATTGGCAGAGCCTTTTGTTGAGAGAAATGTCGATCAAAAGTCATATCAAACGTCCGCCATGGACGGATGTATAGAGTCCTTTACACATAAAATTACAACGATGGTGTTAGACTTCCCGCAAACTATAGACTTTTTGTAATCGGGTTAAACGTTACACCGATTTAGTATTGGCTAATTCCTCATACAAATAGAAGCCGATCAAACTATTGGCCGATAAAAATTATGTAGCCTGCGGGGACTCTAACACCATTGTTGCCAGTCAGGTAAAGGACTCTACACACCAAATCCAACTCATATCTCGATGTTGAAAGTCAACTCATGACTTTGGGTTGGCGGGTTGGACTGCAAAAGGGCCCTACAACACGATACCATTACAAAAGCCTAATCAAAGGTAGCAAAACATGATCGTGGAAATAAATGGAACGTATGCCACATGTAACATGGATTTGTTTTTGTTGTTGTCTGATGGTTTTAGGAATAAAACTGACTAGGAGAGAAAACAAAAATAATAAAAGTAGCTTGTGTTTGCGGGATTAGTGTGTGTTCCTAGGATTCTACTTTCTAGCAGGTGTTTGTGACTCCTAATCTTCTTGTGAGGGACTTTACAATAAAGCGTTTACAATTTGAAAATAATAGTGAAATGACAAGAGAGACGTTAAGCGTCCGTGGCTGCTAGATATGCATCAACGCCCTCTGTTGTAGTTCCTTGACCTCACGTGACATAATAGATGCGGTGCTTGGCGATAGTATTGACCCTTGATCCTTGGTTAGTGTTTCACAAGCGGTCCGACAGATGGCTCTTAAGCTTGTTTAAGTGTTATTCAGAAATGGATCATCAGCAGTAATTATCACTCTCAATGACTTATGTTATAATATATGTCGAGGCCAGGGATGGCGTTGTCGGCAGCATTCATTAAATCCTTCTGCGTGCAGTACCTCGAGCACTCAGGGCACGACATCATGTGCTTCATTGACTGGAGAACAAAACCGCACCTGCACTCCATGCTTGAACCATCCAAGAATCCCCACCTGACCAGATTGTCCTCACCACAGCCAACCTGCGTCCGAAGTCTTTCAGGTAAGCCAGAGCTGATGATGATGATAATGGAATTCCACAGTCGCAAAGCTATGTTTTTTATTTTCAAGAAACTCTGCACTTCTTAATTGTTACAGTAAGATGAAGGCAATCATTTGCATAGCTGGGCATTAACTCGTTAATCCGTTAATTAACGAAGTTAACATTTCTATTAACGGATTAACTTTTAAGTTAACTTTAAAAAATGTTAACGGACTCGTTAACTTCCGATAAATTATCCTAAGTCCGTTAATCGTTAATCCAGTACCTACTATTTACCAAAAAAAAAACAGCAGGCACGCTGAAAAACACTAAGAAAAACGCGTTCTCCTACGTTCGGGCTTCGAGAACTTCCAGAACCCAAAACAACTGTTTTTGTAACCAGAAAGAAACGATATAAAAAATGCTATTTTTTTATTTATTTACAAGCTTATACAGGGTGGAATTTTGTAATGCCACCTGGAGGGAAAGTACTCTTAATACTGCAAATAGATTTACTGAAAGAAAACATTCCTTAATTTTTTTAAAGAAAGAGAACTGCATTCATAGATTTTCACATCATTACCACACCACACCATACAATTTCTGTACATAATTAAAATAATTTAAGATTTTATGGATTTCCTTTCATTTGATTTATCAAGTTTGTTAGAGAGATTTTTCATCCTTATACTTGACCTTAACGATCGATGCAATAAAAATACAGGGTGTAATTTTTAACAGATTGTAGTTGGTTTGATTCCCGGGTGTGGCAAATATTTTTTGGAAATCTTTGAATGCAGTTCTATTTGTTTTCAAAAATAAAGGAATGTTTTCTTTGAGATTTTTTTTATCTACTATATTAAGACTACTTTCCCTCCACGTGGCATGACAAAATTCCACCCTGACTGTATATTGACTTCACTTGTTAGTAGGTATGTGTGGGAAAAATCTTGCAACTGAATTTAAGACCAGTTCTCCTCAACCGATTGAGCTGCAATTTGGTATACTTATGTAAGTACGATGAAAATGCAATGTTGTGGCACCATTGAGCTGGTCTAATGATGGAGTCAGGAGGCGGCCATAGAAACTCCTAAATGAAACGGCGGAATCGCATCGAATTTGGGTTTGTTGGATTTGTCTTTTCGAGCACATTGGTGCTAAATTGTATTGTAATTGAACCAAGGCTCTGAGATTGAGATACTTATAGACTAAGAGCTGGTGAACGCCAGACCAACGTCATTTTATAAAAGCTGAAAGTGTGTCAGCGTATGCTCCCAATATATGTTAGAATGTTGGTGGATTATGAAGTTTGGGTCATCGTGGCTTTGGCAGCTATCCTAAAAAATACTGTCTGGCAAGGAGTTGGAACTGTCAAAACTGTCTGGCTAAAAAGAGGAATAAATTTCATGCGCGATACAAGCTTTCGAAATTATTTGAACCTTGCATACAATTATTTTTTTCGTTTTATTATAATGTGTTAACGGATTAACGATTAACGTTAACTTGCGTTAAATCTTGCTAAATGTAACGTTTTAACGTTTAACGAAGTTAATTTTTTTATTAACGGTTTTAATGATTAACGAAGTTAACTATTTGATTAACGGTGCCCAGCTATGATCATTTGTGGTAAGTGGTGCGATGGTGGATGGTTCAAATTGGGTGTCACTTGTGGTACATTACCAAATAACCATTGACGACAGGACGTGACAACTATGATGATATAAAAGAAAACATGGAAAATAAACGCCATGACACATCACGACAGTAGTCCGTCATTTCGTACCGGCTTTGGAGGTTTTCCCTAAAAAAGTAAGTATTTATGTTATGTTAATTTTAAACAACATCATTTAGACTAAGCACCTTCACTTATTGTTCTATTGTAATATTTATACCTAGGTACTTGTGACGTTATTCCTTAAAAATATATAAAGACGACACCAAATAAAAAAGTAACTGTACCTGTTGATACTTACACGGAGTCACATTAAATTCTGTATTGATTAGACATTACTCGTTCTAACTCCATTCAAAATTTTTACTGATAAATTTCTTACCTAGTTTCCATCAATCAGTGATCGAATATTACTCGTAATTACTTAACTTTTTATACTATAAAATCATGACTCCACGCATGACTGAATCTGACGAAAAACCAAATGAAGAAAATATGCCACATGATACAATAAAACCACCAGAGCCAATGGAAAAATTGAAAATAATACATCATTTAGTTATTGTTTACATCTACTTCCATGTCGCTGGGTTATATGGATTATATTTATGTTTCACAACAGCTAAATGGCTGACTATGGGATTCGGTAAGTACTTATTATAAATTTTCATTTATTAAATACATGCCTTTACTTTAAGAGTTTTTGAAATACTTTTTTTTCTTTTGCGATTCAATTACTGAACAACACTGACAAAATGTATTTTTAAAATCACGCAAACCTGCTATTGAACCTTTGATATTTCATTTTTATTCTACACTACTTTACATCCTTTTAATTTTTATCTTAAACTAGCTGACCCGGCGAACTTTGTTCCGCCTTAATGGCAATAAATAAGCAGACTTTTTTTTAATTTCGAACGGGATAAAAAGTATCCTATGTCCTTCTCCTGGCTCTAAACTACCTCCCTGACAATTTTCAGCTAAATCGGTTCAGCCGTTCTTGAGTTATAAGTGGAGTAACTAACACGACTTTCTTTTATATATATAGATTCGTTTTTGTTCCAATACCGTTTTTAAATAATAATTAATTTAATTTGTTTACAGGTGTGCTGGTTTACTTATTAGGAATACTGGGCATCACTGCAGGTGCTCATAGACTATGGTCGCACAGAAGTTACAAAGCAAAACTGCCACTGCAGATTATCCTGATGCTACTAAACAGCATAGCATCCCAAAAGACAGCCATAAACTGGTCTCGGGAACATCGCTTGCACCACAAATGCTCAGATACTGAAGGCGATCCTCATAACGCAAACCGTGGATTCTTCTACTCTCATCTAGGCTGGCTGATGACTAAGAAATCTAAGGAAGTAATAAAACAAGGAAAGTGCATAGACTTGTCAGATCTATACAATAATCCTGTCTTACGTTTCCAAGAAAAGTAAGTACTAATTTCTACAAAAGATTAATAGAATTCAGTTTAACATTTTTTTTTATTTCTCTTAAGAAGGTATAATAATATCCTCTACTTCTTGCATAAAATATGATCAGAAAGTTCTGTGTTATCCTTCAACGAGCAATAGGTACGTTTCTCTCCACAGAGTTCTTGTCCCATATTACATTACAAACTATGTATCTACACCTATAAAATAATAGTGCTAATATAGCACGAGTATATTGATAGTCTTCTGCTGGATAACCGGTGGTAATCCCTAAGAAATGCACCATCTATTTTTTTAACTGCTGCTATCTTCAGCTACAAAAAAGCTAGGGTATCGAATTTACTGTAATATTTTTAAATTTTTGTTTCAGATATGACGTACCCATTATAACTACTCTCTGTTTTATCCTCCCGACTGTCATACCGGTGTACTTCTGGGGCGAAACCTGGAACAACGCTTGGCATTTGAACATGCTACGGTTCGTCGTGAGTTTGAACCTGACCTGTTGCGTCAACAGCGTTGCCCACATGTGGGGCTACAAGCCGTACGACAAAACGCTTTTGCCCGGTCAAAACGTTCTACTTACTACTGTTGTCCTGGGAGAAGGTTTCCACAACTACCACCATGTGTTTCCATGGGACTACCGGACCTCGGAACTTGGGAACGTGAAATTAAACTTCACAACGTACTTCATCGATTTTTTCGCTTGGATCGGATGGGCTTACGATCTAAAGTCAGCATCCAAGGATGTTATAAAGAATCGATCGGAGAGAACTGGCGATGGCACGGATCTATGGGGACGTAAAAGTGATTAATTGACATCATTACATATCGTGATCGTCCTTATCATGCAGATGCGCCAGTGAGTACTAATCTGCGCAACCGGGGCGGACCGCCCCACCGCGCCCCCTTCATACGCCGCTAAGGAAATAGTGAGATATTGATTGTAAAACAATCAAGTAAAATCATTTTGATGTACCTAATTTCAAATTACTTCGATCAAATTATTTCTACAATTGTGATTTTAATATTATATATTATTATGATTATTATAAAGAGCTGTGGTTTTCTGAATAAAGAAAAATAAAAAATAAAAATAAATAAATAAAATTAAGCTTTACATTAGGGATGGCGATCTGAAAATGATAATCCAGGAAATAAAATAAGTAATTCTTAAAATGTTAGATCAATCTCGTGAATGTACCGAAAATCAGGATCGATTTATCCTTAATTTTCCTCTTCTCCTGTGAAATTCATCTATGCCATGATATGAAACGTATTTTTTAAGATAAAGTAAGTAGGTATTTTTCACTTTGTAAATTATATAGTAACATCATCGTGACTTTGGGAAATCTTAGCATACTAAATAATTGCACGTTTAGGTAAGTAGGTGACATTGTCCTTTATGAGGGTGCGCTAAGGTCTTCTATGTTGTATTAAGTTTAAGCTTCTCTTGTCATTTGCACCTTTAACTTAATTTCATTTCAATTTAGATTATTTAGTTGTATCTTATTTTTATTCATAAGATTTGCTTAATTATGCATTTGTATTCTGAACTAATGTTTCCTACCATTGTATTAAGACTTAAATTTCAATAAAAAGTTTTAAATGAAACCTACACTGTTAAATACTTTGATTTCACTACCCTTACATCCTTCCCTTTAATATTATAATGCTGTGACGTTAGTGAAAATGATAACTGTAAAACACTTTAAAGTTTATTTTTCTGGAACTACTATCATTGGTTATTGGCAAGCAATTGGTTAATTATTAAATAATAATAATAATAAATATCTTTGGACATTTTTACACTACGCTTCTAGTCCCAAACTAAGCAAAGCTTGTACCAATGGGCACTAGACAACGGATCTAAACATACTTAAATACTTATTTTTTGTAAATACAGACATACAGGGTGGAAACGACAAGTGATCTCACTCGATTATTTCTAAACTATACAAGATATCAAAAAACTAGTTATTCATCCTGCAAGTGCTTCATGAGCTCTATCAAACGGTATTAATAATAGGTTAAATAATAAACTGGATCTATCCGAAAATTCAATGTTCCCAGCTTCCATACATTTGGTAAAGTCACATTATTTTAAAAACTACACATGATATCGTAAAACTGATTACTGATTCTAAAAGTACTTCACAAGCTCTATCCAATGGTATCAATAATAGGTTACAGAATAAACTGGATCTATCCAAAAATTCAATGTTTCCTTCTTCCATACATTTAGTACTACCATAGTCATGACACTCATCTCTTGACAATATTATAGCAAGTAAAGCCTAAAACCAATGTTTTTCATGAATATTTTAATTAGGAATACAATTTACGAGTTTATTTTAAGAGTTTATTAACCAATAAAAAAAATTACACTTCCAATATTGTGTGTCTGGCATACATTTAGTATGGAAGCTGGAAACATTGAATTTTCAGATAGATCCAGTTTATTCTGTAACCTATTAATTTTAACATTTGAAAGAGCTCATGAAGCACTTTCAGGATCAGTAACCAGTTTTTCAATATCTTGTATAGTTTAGAAATAATTGAGTGAGATCACTTAACGTTTCCACCCTGTATACATAGGAACACTCAGACCCGTCACAGAAATTAAAATTCATCATTTCAATTTCTGCCCGGCCGGGAGTCGAACCCGGGACCTCTCGGCATAGTAGTCCGTTCTGAACCACTACACCAAACGGCCGACCGAGCAATTTAGCAAGTCTATGTGTCACCTGAATGACATCAAAAATATTGTTAGGTATCTACGAATATAGTCCATTTCGTCAGCCAGTATCTAGCCAGAATTAATAGTCTAAGATCCCGCTATACAACGACCTTCACCGAGATGCTTATTTGATGAAACATATTTTATATTTAATTTAACATGTCAATAATTATATTGCTTAAGGGTTGCCTAATAAATTTCAGTCCAGGATATGATTAATTAATCATTAAAAAAAGATTTTTTTAAAAATATTTCATCGGTTTGACTATTAAACAAATTCCATACCAATCGAAAGTATGAAGCCCATAGAATATGCAAACGTTAGGTTGCCTATTCTTTTCCAGTCATAACTCTCGGGTTGCCAGGTATAAACAGGTAAATTGATAGAGCATTTTGCACCGGTCTGATAATTTAATCAAAGGACATTGGGAACTTTAATATGAGAAAATGCCCCACGGCGGACAAAGATGAAACTTATTTTATTTCAAAGCTTTATACTTGTAGGTATATTCACTTAAAGCGCTATGTTGTGAGATATGGGAATTCTGAGATATGACAAGTCTAAGTTGAAAATATATTTGTCTAAAATGATTTGATATTTTTACATGGCATTGCAGAGTAACCAATAAAAGTCAATAAAATAATATAAATAAATAAAAAATATAAATAAAATAATATAAATAAATAAAATATTATAAATACTTAAAATAATATTAGACAACATCTCATATATTACTCCAACCCAAAATAAGTAGCTAAGGCATTTGTGTTATGGAAATCGAGAACGACGAACCACAACACACCCAAACCAGAGACAATGTGAAAAGATCGTTTTCTATATTGTACCGGCCGGGAATCGAACCCGGGACCTCAGGATTGGCCCGGCACACCTTGAAAACCGGAGTGTGCGCCTCTCCGCCACGGAGGTCGTCAAAAATGTTACCTAAATGTAAAATAAAATAAAATATTAAAACTTCATTTTCTCAATATTCCCATAAATTTTTGACCGGAAGTCGTTATTTCCACTTTCGACATTTTTGGACCAAATCTCCGAAAGCATGGCAACACTGGAGAAATTTCTTCACCCAAGCGACACCTCTTGACAAGACACACAAACGCCTCATACAACTCGTCTTTCCCAAATGTTGCCAACTACTCGAAAAATGTCACCTTTCAGTTTTAATTTCACTTTACAAAATTCGACAACCGTCATTCAGGACTGATTTTTCGCAGGCAACCCTATACCACCTTGTTCATAATGAAATAATCTTTATTTTCATTTAAATTTGATTAAATTATCAGACCGGTGCAAAATGCTCTATCAATTTACCTGTTTATACCTGGCAACCCGAGAGTTATGACTGGAAAAGAATAGGCAACCTAACGTTTGCATATTCTATGGGCTTCATACTTTCGATTGGTATGGAATTTGTTTAATAGTCAAACCGATGAAATATTTAAAAAAAAATCTTTTTTTAATGATTAATTAATCACATCCTGGACTGAAATTTATTAGGCAACCCTTAAGCAATATAATTATTGACATGTTAAATTAAATATAAAATATGTTTCATCAAATAAGCATCTCGGTGAAGGTCGTTGTATAGCGGGATCTTATACTATAAATACAATAGAGGACCGGCTAGGTACTCAAACAAAAATTGACACTTTAAACTTTAATATTTTCCCAAATAGTTCCCTAAATGGAAAAATAGTCTTAGAAACCCCTAAGCCATTTTAAAACACCTATCTACGATACCCCACACGATGGGGTAGAAGATGAAAAAAAAAATCATCCCCACTTTACATGACATGTAGGTAGGGTATGTAATATTTTTTTCTTCAAAATTTAATGTTACAGTTTTGTCGGCTTGATTAATACGTATACATACCACCACAAAATTACAGCTCTCTAGTGCCAATAGTTTCCAAGCAAAACCTCGGACAGACAGACAGACATATCGAAACTATAAGGGTTCCTTGTCAGGACTACGGAACCTTAAAAAGGTCAAGTGTCAAAATTGTATCAATTTGTGCCGCGGTCTCGTGCGACCATTAAGGGCTCCATGAGCTAAATAATCTGCGTCCATATCACTATTCATCATCAGTCATCATCTGCTGCTTCCAGACAGTTTAACAATAACAAGAAAACGTGCAACGTGACTATACTTACCCAAAGAATACTCACGTGTGATTGAGATAATACCTAAGTGTCTGTGCTGTGCCACTTCCTTTAGTTAGGCTGTACAACACTTCCTTTAGACATATTGTGTGTTTTCAAACTTTTCCATGTTCGCATGGTTATTGTATTGGTCGGTGCATATGATTTTTCCAATGAATCACTTCCTTTAGACATGACGTGTATTTCCAAAATTTTCGATATTCACATGCTTGTTGTATTTGCACATCTTGCATTTGTTGGATTATCCCAATGAAGACGAAAAACTTAGTGCAATGGTGCAGTAACTAATTTCACTAAAAGTACCATTCCGTTCGAGTTCCGTTTGACCCAAATGACGTCCACTGATAGAAAAAGGCCTTCCAAGGACTTCCACGATGACCGGTCCTGCGTTGCCTGCATTCAAATGCTTTCCGACTTTACTAACCCCACCTCTCGTAGTACAAGTTCTTCAATCTAGGGGTTTGAGCCTTCAGCTATGCGCTCATAGCCCGGGCTTTATCCAGGACCCGGCAACACGACAATGGGATGTGAATTTGTTTGTCTTGTTTAATTATGTTAATAATAAACATAATTGTGTTTATTTTTATTCAATACGTTTAAAATCTTATTCGAGCATAAATATGACTTAGGTAAGTACTATCGGCCACAGTTCCAGCTACCCATTCCCTAGTAGTGTTTTGATGATTGTCATAACGAAGGATGATGGCACAAAACTTGCATTTTGGTCTCGATTTTGAAATTATTTTTCAACTTGCGAGTAACATCTGAATGTTTATTGTATACCTACCCTTAATATTAAATAATCTATTACTTTACATGTTCAGAAATGTGTTTCTTCGTACTTTCATATCCCTTTCCTTTTGTTGTAGTGAAGCCTTCTATCCTTCAAAGGGGACTAAGTGCAAAGCTTTACGAAAGCTTATACGAAAAGCTTATTCTAACACCCACCGACATTCTGTCAGTAATACATTCTGCTCATAGGTTTTTACTAACAAACAGTTCTAATATCCTTTTAAGATTGTTGTCTCAGACGCTGTAAAGAATACCAAAATTATTGTTTCGTTGTGATAATTTTTTTTTTTCATTTATTATCATTTTACAAAGGAAGTTCTTAAACATATTACAATTAAATGCATTGGCATAAACCACTGAGGTTTGTTTGCAAGAATAAAAGTGATTATTTTAATAATTCAATCGAGAAAGAAAAACACTCATTTTGTAAGATTGGACTGGAACACGTGATTAAATGATACGTTTCTTTTATATTATAGTCATTTAAACATATGTCTTAGTATTATTCTTATATTTTTTGTAACAACGTCAACCAGTAACCAACTTGAGGATTGGTGAATTCGACTAAAATTAGACGATGAAATAAAAACACGGTGTATAAAAACAATTTATTTCTCTCTTCTTTGCTGCATTAACATTTATGTAGACATCAACAATTGTTATTTCATATAGAAGAAAAAGTGTTGTATTGTGCGATTCTGAGTATCCTTAAGAAATCTTGAAACAGTCTTATTATATTTATATACACTTAGGAATTAAACAAATAAAGAACAACTAGGTACAACGATAGTGAAATGTATTACATTAAAATAATAAAAGGCTAATAAAAATGATAAGGAATTTCAAAGTAATTGCATTGTTAAATGCCTAGGTAATACAAGTGTAACTCGATAAATAAAATTAAATAAGTATGAAAAGATCAACTAGTTATTTTGAAAAGCTACAGTAAAATAGCCTTAAATAATTGGGCATTACAGCTATTACAAAAAATACAAAATGTACTTTTATTTCATTTACATAACTGTTGTTATTAACTTAGATGGTAGATAAAGTAGGAGAACATCCACAATGCCGGAGTAACGAATATTCACGATATTTGGTTCATAGATGAAATATTATTGACTTAAATTTATACAATCTTCTTTAATTAATCACCATAGGAGCTTAGTTTACTATTATTTGGCACATCTTTATGTCTTACCAAAGTTTCTATATTGCTTTATTGAAACTAAAATATTTAGATTACAAAAATTAGACCTGAATCTACTGGTCCACATATACTTAAAACTATTTCTCTATCCATCAATCAACTAAGGATTTCTCTTATCCGTCAAAGTACACTTTTGTCTACAATGATGTGTGCGTTCCGGGGACAGTTCCAAATGAACGACATTCACTGCTTTATCAAAAGTCACCCTCGGAAGTCATCGCGTCAAAGTCACTTCTGTATCACTCGAACTTATTGAGCTCTCTTTAATCACATCAAGTTCTCGGTTAGACAGGGAAGAGGTACGGGAAAACTTATGAGTAGCACTATATTCACTTTTTTCTTCACAACTTTCACGAGCACTCGCGGTAAAGTCTTTGGTATTATACGCATCATCGTCAACTACTTCATTCACTTCAACCTCTAATAAATTGTCATTATAATTTACACCGTACGCGTTAAAGTTCCTCTCGTGACTGAGACTTCTTATTCTATCCAAATTGTGTTCCAAAGTTTGTATATCATCGTCCATGCCCGGGGAATCATCAAATTTCCACTTGATGTTTGTGTTAAAATGTTCTACACCTGGATATATGCCTATGCTATTACTTCTGTGCCCGAAAACCGGACAGTTGCGGAATTCTCACAATTCCGGATGTCTACCGTTACAAGTCTTGTTGAAATTGCCCTCGTCTAGGCTCAAATTGGAACGGGATCGACCGCATTCAAGTCCTGGTGTGGGTCTGAAGAGGCAAAAGTCAGAGTTTTTGAGTCTACACTGCCTTGAACACGATTCTATTTGGAAGGCGGATCGGTCTAGGTGATAGTCAGTGGGTCCGTAGCCGTCGAAAAATCTAGGATCATGTTTACATGAACTGCTGGGGCATCCTTTGAAAGACCCTGTGCAACGAAGAGGATCTCTGTGACATGCTTTCTGTATGGCGTGTAAAGACGTAGAGGAGACTGTGCGTTCAAGTATTTCACCCCAGTACTTTTCTCCGAGTCCTTCAAATTCTCCTTTCGAGTGCAAGCCGTCAGACGTGACGGGAGATCCACAGCACCCTGTAGGTTTTTCGTAGCTAGGAAATGGTTTTGTGCGCCGACAGCATACCTGTGACAAAATAAAACAAAACATTTAACTTAAAAAGATTATGTTAAAAAAAATAATAGTAAACTGTTAAAGACTATTAGAAGCCGATGTTGTAGTATGATTGGTTCTGCGGTTAATGACTTAGTATGGCTTAGGACTACCACTCTATGTGGTTAACTCCACTATCCATTTCACCACAAACACCATGATCGGATGTTGTAGGCAATAATACGTAGCTATGATTTCCAAGGTAATTAATAACTACATAATAACGTATCAACACGATGCATGTTGAATGGTAGCAGTTTTAGGATACGTTTGAACAAGGTTTTTTTTTAATAATAAAGTAATAGTTAAATATTTATTTATATTTTTCTAGTAACTACTTTCATGTACACTACCACCACATGGGCGTTGTTTTACAATACCACACTCTGTATATTATTATGTTTATTTCATACTTACATAATATTGTATTAATTCATTGCTGATTCTTCGAAAGTGGCTATTCAGAAGCCAATACAGAAAAGGATTCCAGAAACTGTTGCTTAGCGCTAACCACGTCACGATAAAATCCAGGGAAGGCGGCACCTGTAAAAATAATACATGTAATAGGTATTACTCGTATTTTGTGTCTAATAATAATGAAAGTAGAATTGTATTTATTCACAGCGGACTTGTCTAAAGTCCGTATCCACAAACGATGCTTGCCTAAGTGAAGCAGCAAATCAAACTCATAGCGTTGAATATAGCTCTGTCATTGGTTCGCGTGTCACCCTGTGCGTCCACGCGCACTGTGAGACCTCATAGAAATGTTTGTGAATACGGCCGTAAGACTAAAATAGAGCTCTAATAAACGAAGACAAAGAAGGCGATAACCATTGAAGTAAATTAAATCAATTGACTAGCAATCGAACAATATTATCTCTTTTCCTTCCACTTATTGAGAATTTTCAGCTTTACTATGTTTGATGATGATTTTAATTATCATGCAAAGATGGAAGTGCAAACTACGAGTATAATAGATAGGAAAAATAATTAAATTTACCTTACATCCCGTACACGCTGCTACAACCTCTTGTATTGTAGCTGGTGTTACCATTACGATGAATCCTAGTGACATGGCTGCCATGGTTCGAGATGTGCTCACGCTGTGAGGTCTGACAGGAGCCTGGATTTGCTGTAAGTATACACAACACCAATCAGATCAGAAGATAGAGATAGAAGAAGGGAAATCTTTGGGGGCACTGGATTAAAGGTTTCGGCGCAATGGCGTAGTATTTTCTCCTTAAAAAGCTCACTGAGTTGAATCCTCTACTATTTTCCATTCCTATAGTTAGTAGACTTAGGCTGGGTTGCACCATCTTATTTTAACTTTGACAAACGTCAAAAATCTGTCAAACTCCATACAAAAACGCCGGTTCTCTTTATAGTTACGGTCAAAGACAGGTGGTGCAACTCAGCCTTAGTAAGTAGGTAGGTACGCGAATGTGAAAAAGTTCAAGACTTAGGCTTGGTTGCACCATCTTACTTTAACTTTGACAAACGTCAAAATCTGTCAAACTACATACAAAAAGCACCGGTTATCGTCATAATTACTGTCAAAGTAAGATGGTGCAACCCACCCTTAAATGATACGACTATGCTTGTAACATTTTGCGACTAAAATAGACTGACAATTCGTATAGATAAATATTTATATATTCCCAAATAGAACAACAAAACAAGACGTCATTTAGCCTACCGTTTTTCAATGAGAATTCACATAATTGTTTGCTAATTTGACAGCGAACTATAGTTTTCATACATGTTCTTGATGCTTACAAAGAATAAGATGAACGTGTCAACAACTATTTTAAATAAATCTATTTCTTCCAGTAGTTTCTGCAATTCGTAGGTAAGTAAGTACATACGTCAGCACATCAGTATATAACTACTTTTTTATCGCAAATTCGGTCCTATTACAACTACTTACATAATGAGAATAATACTTACAACCCGGTCGAGTTAACTGCGTACGTGGCAGCCGTGACGTCACGTCGACAGTCTGGTACGGACAGGGCGAACGCGGGGAGGTGTGCGGGTGAGTGCAAGGGAAAGATGCATTCCAACGAGGTGCGTTAGCTTGATCGGGTTGTAACCCCCTTACTAATAAAAAGTGACACACTTTTTTTTTTGAAGGGACGCGCGCTGGTAGCTTGAAGAGCTTTTCCAGCTTCACCGGGCAGAGTGGCGAGTACAGAAGGTACTCTAGCTAGTGTAAGTTTTATTAACAAGTGGTTAGCTTGACCTGATGTCGTCAGTATAAAGAAAGATTTACGCACGTGCGGATATCCTAGTAACTAGGCAGTTTTCTGAACGAAATTTTATCCAATAAATGTGTACCTAGTTCGGATGTATTTCGTTAAGACAAGAGAAAACTGGTTTGTTTTGCTTGAAAGAGGAATTCGTTTATCATTTTTATTACAAAAGTTCGTTGGCGAATAATGAATTGCGAGGGATTTACTTGTTAAAATAAAAAAAGGAATGTTTATGTGAAATCGTAAACATGGGATACGTTTAAGTGGGATCTCATTTACCTTCGGAATAAAAAATAAGTATTTTTCGGAATACTCAAATACTACGGAATAATAAAAACGTAAGCATGGTCGGGTTATTTACCAACGCGACACAAGAGACTGCTGGACACAAGTGTGTCCTGTTGGTGAAACCCAAAATAAAGCCTTGATCACACCGAGTGGAAGAGCAAAACAGTAAAATGATACTTGGCCGAGAGAGTTGGGTGAGCGAGTCACCTACTCGCGCGCTTGGCCGAGCACTCGGCGTAAATGTTCATACACACCGAGTACTCAGCCGAGAGCAGTCTCGCCCGTTTGCTCGGTACGTGTGATCAACGTGTCTCACTTCAGATTTTATGATCACGCAGGGAAACTCCGGGTATAGCACGCTCAAGTCAAGAAATATACTTATTAATTACCTTATTAAATCAGCCCTTACCACTATATCATGTTCTCCATGCGAAGTCTTAGCGCAGGCCACAGGGACCCCATTGGGCCTCGCAGGCTCCGGGTCACATTTACTCCTGATCTTGCTGACGTGGAACCCTGACCCGTAGCAGTACATCAGTGCCATGGTCGTTGGGAAGTAGTAAGCGCAGCAGGAGAGGATTCTAAAAGTTAATGTTTTTTTAGTAAGCAAGGTCGAAAACGTAGAAACAGAAAAAACCTACATGTTTTATGTTAGAAAAATTTTCATCATAATCAACCATTTCAGCCACAGGTCGTCCTTTATGAGATCATCTGTCCACCGGGTGGACGTCCTACGCTGCAATTTGCCAGTACGTGTCGTGCCTCAGAAAAACTATTATAGGTAGGTACCGTTATGTTCTAAGCGTAGATATATCAATTTCCACTCTGTCTATTTATTTTTAGGATGAATTTTTTGTGTAAATTTAATAAGCTTGGTTTAGCTTTTACCTGCCTCTTTTCATCAAAATTGAAGGGTTATGGACGAATTAAACCTAATTTTGCGACAGTAATTCCAAGTTATTATATCGACCAAGACCTTTTCTTAAGGAAATGGAACGTGAGCCGTATGAATGAGGTAAATTCCCTTTCAGAAGCGTTTGCATAAAATTTCTGTTTAACTTTTTCACTTGACTCGAAGTTGGGGTGTAACTCAGGGACTTCGTTAAAGCCGCACAAACCATTATATTTTACATTGAACTGAGGTTTCAAAAGTTTGTCCATTATGAGACTCATTGTTAATGCATGATAGTTTAACTAAAATCTATGCATATAAATTGTTATCATACTTACTATCTTCTGAATTAATAGTAGCGTGTATAGGTAGAAAATCGAGCGTTGCAGATTTTCAGAATTAAACCTAGCATTGTGATTGAAAGATCTCATCGATTGTTAACTACATTTCCCCAAAGGCTAATCCCAGAAACTACTGTATTATCAATAATCCTAGATTTACGAGGGATGTTTGATAAATTCAAAGCTGAAGGCTGTTTAAATATTGATACGTAGGTAAGTAGTCAAAATTTCAAATGTCGTAAGGGACAAAAACGGTTTCAAAGATTGTGTTTCTTAAGTTATTTGAAAATTAGGTTCAAATTGTATTTTACTGTACCTGAAAGCAACTCTGCTGTGGAAGACATCGCAGGCCATCAAGCCAGTCGAGTTGAAGTAGTATCCAGACCGTGGAAGGACCATTATAGCAAACAGTGACACTGACAGTATCCAAGTTATACTTATCACTAATACACAACCCTGGAACAAATATGCAATAGTTAGAAAGGATAGGCCAAAAATTTCACAAAACGAAATAATTAACAAATTCAATTCAGCCTAAATTGGACACAGAATTTATTAATAAAACATTTACTAAATGCAGGTTTTGAAACAGCAATTTTGTAACAGTAAATAGTAATTAAACCAGAATATTTGGGACAGCTATGTTGGGATAAGTACTATCAGTGCCCACATACTAATAAAGGATTTGAATTTATATCAGCGGTCATTGAATTCAAATAAAACCTCCACTAAACAACGTAAAAACTACGTTCATGTTAAAGATTATTAAAAATGTTACATAAAATGATGTTACGTAGCTATTAACGATGATCCAACAACAAAACAGTTTAATAATTAAGTAATCAAAATGTGGCTTACTCCGTACTAACTACTCGTATTATGCGCAAGTACGCGGATTAGGTACTTTTCCAACTTGGTTTCTAACTTTGATAAACACCGTAGAAACGCTAACTTCTACTTAATAAGCGGTGTTAACTATTAAATTATTAGTTAAGTAGCTTATTATTCTAGCGTAGTATTCTAACAGATTGCAATTTGTCTAGAAAATAATGTAGGAATATGAAAAAGAAAATGTTTCTTAAATGAACACCAATATGAGAGCAAATTCAATATTATTTCTGAAACCAATCTCATCTAAAATAGCTATTACGAATGTTAAAAACCATTGTTGTGTTTCAATTAACACTGTTTATAGAACAAAGCTCATGCATGCCTAATTTAGCAGCACAAAGGAATCCACCAGCTTTTATGTCTAAGTCAGATTTGAACCCCGTTACGGAGTTCTTAAGCGGCTCAAAGAGATTTTCTTAGAGAGAGGTGTTATCAAGTACGCAAATCCTTCTTTGAACGCAACCTCGGATTTGCAGAATTCTAAAGTCCCGGGAGTGTGAATAAAACTTTAATATTCAATTAATGTGGATACTCTCATCCTTTTAAATGAATTAAGTGTGAATGTTGAATTAGGATGGGGTGTGTTGACATAAAATCTGTTTGGATTCAACCCTTGAATCCCGCGACGTATACACTTATAGCTATAACTTAACATGTTAAATAATTTAATATTGTTCTCAAACCTTTTTACTGGAATGCTTGTGATAAGTATTCGGGTGCAATAGATAAAGGTATCTGTCTATCGCCATACACACGAGTATCACAGCACTTTGTTGACTCACGGCCCCACGTAAAAGTGCCTGAAACACGAAAACCATCAACATAATGCAATAATATTGAGATACTTTTAGAGCGATGGAGAGCTAACGTGTTTTGTTTCTTCGCGTTCCACGGAAAATATTTTCAGTGTAAACTTTACCTTCTACTGTCACAAACAATTGCGACAGCGTTCAAGAGAATCTGAATGACCTTGATCTACAAAATACAACAAAGAGGGAACACCGAAAAGAGGAGCAACTTACAAAGCTAAAACTTTAACAAGCCACCGACTTTTGCGCGGTCACTATATTCCATTAGCTGATTCGCATTAAGCCCCGAGGCACGACCAGCGAAAGTTTTTAGCGATTTTATTGTTCATAGATTGCAGCGTCACCGGATCATCAACAATTACTCTTTTAAATCCTCATATTGTTCCCCTCGGCTCAAAAGAGCGCGCCCACAATGCGGATCACTTTCATTATTTCACATTTTGTCAGGGGCTTGTCGTAATTCGTGACTTATTGCTTCTGATCAAAAATGATAAATAACTTTTTTATAGCAATCATAAAATCAAAATTCAGGGGTGGAACTTTGATGAGAATGAGTGACGTTGGTGACTTGATGAATCTTTATCCTTGATATCCGATTAACTTTGCCTCTCCAATTGAGAACTTTTTTCCGTGACGCAACTTTACTCATTTTCTCGCCGTCTCTTGTTTAAATAAAGTTTTGCACTTCGTAGCTCCGCCTAGGTCTAACTGGATTAAACAACTCTCTTGAAATTTTGATGAAAAACTAATTTACCCATTTTCAACACTCCCGTTTTTTATTTCATTATCGCTAGGGCTGTGTTAGGAGATTTATCGTAAAATTATTCACCTTTCTACGCACGGTATTCAGAGTAAACATTATTTTGTTCTACGTCTTTACTTACGTGATCTTTAACAAAGATTCATAAGTAAAGGTTATCTCCGCCCTTTCTGATATGTTAAGGTAGCTGGCGTAAATAAAGCGTGAACCTTCATGAATAACGTTAGCGGTATATTAAACGCTCGCTAGCTGAATTTAATTTTCGTTCCTCTTCAAAATATTATTATTATAACTATTATCATAAACCACAATACGATATCTCTCGATTTCATTACCTTTCTTCATTGTATTTTACGACAGTCTTTAGAGATACTATTGAACATTGTCGAATCGCTTTTCATGGTGGTAGTTGTATTCGATAAAAGCCATGAATCCTTTGAGAAGGCAAAAAGGCGAAGAGAAGGGTGTAATAAGCCGCAACTAAGACCGTTATAAATTCCTTTTCAATAGTTTACCTGTATCTGACAGAATATCTCGCCGTAGGGCCAACACTTGTAGAGAGCGGGCAGAAGCGCCACTGGAGCTATCAAGATTCCAGTGAATAAGTCGTTGAGAGCCAACGACGTAAGCAGGTATCTCGGCTGCGGAAAATAAGGCTCAAATTTGAATGAACACTTTTGTAAACACCCGTAAAGAAAGTAAAATGTTACTCTTGTTCCTATTCCAAATACTTTTAATGATGTACTTATTCGTTTCCACCAGCAGTTTCAGTGAGAAAACACGAATAAATCCTTGCGAATTTCTTTCATTTTACGGTTCTATCTTACAATAATACACATCTTTGAATGAAAGAGATATTTGAAGCTGCCGAAATTTTTAAAAATGAAATTAAAGATAAGCATATTCTGAGAGCAGGGTTCTATTGGAAAATATTTGAAACTGAGACTTCATATACAACATACCTGATTGTCGATATACTTGATGTACCTCCTGTTGTTCAAGACACAAATGAGGACTAGATTCCCGAAGACAATCGCCATAGACAGTGCAAATATGAAGAAGGCTTTTAATATATCAGCTGGTGCCGGGAAAGTGGATGGCCAGCCTTTACCGTTGATCCAGCAGGAACTGTTAGAGAGGGACGGCGCTATGAGCAGTGCGCCTTTGGTCGAGTCGAACATAGTCGGCGCCTACGGCAGCGCACGGTTCTCGTGAATAAGGCATTTAGATCATAGATGCTGAACTGCTTGTGTAGTTCTTTCAGACTTTGGTTTGCTTCTGGGATTGGGATTGTCAACTTGAAACGTGCATTTTGTTAGAGTTTTTCGAGCGTGGTTAGGGTTCCGATTTAGTACGCTGCATCGTGGTATCTGTAACAAAAAAATGGCTTGATTACTTTATTAGGTCCACCTAATATTCGAAGTCGTACCTTTTAATTATGTAGAAAAAGGGATATTATTAAATCAGATTCAATACCTATAAAATTAAGTATTCCTTTAATTTAAATAGTTGAATAGTATTTGTATAATATTTTTTCCATATTGCACATTGAAAAATTAAGAACAGGCAACAGCACATCACATTTTTAAAATCACTTCTATTACAAATGAATAAGAGCCGACAGTGTTTGCCTTGACGTGTTGTCGTCTATACTTCCAAATACTTCAAAAACCTTTCATGAAACGAAATTCAAATACGCTTTTAAAAGGGTATTTGACTGTACATCTTTATCTACATCTACAAAAGTCTGTCCAAGTTGACATAAAATATTCCTGTTGCGTCTCAAAGAAAGAGGGACAGAAATGATCCTAAGCCGTGGATACTGAATCAATTTCACTTTCCGCTGGGAGGATTAGCTTGACAAATGATCGTGTCCAAGACCTCGTTTATATCTGGTTCTGTTTTTATTAGCCCGTGAAAAATTGCCGTCTTTAAGGGCCCTTCTGACTTCTGTCTTTAGGTGTCGGGAGCTTTCCAAACTATTATGTGCTACTTCGTTGACGTCTTGTGTGTATATGATTTGTGTAGTGTTGATTTTGCTGTGATGAAAAAACCAAACAGTATTGTAGCTTAAACGCCGGTATTTGTTTTTAACACGAGGATCAAAATTAATTCTATTGTCGCGTAACTTAAAACTATAATTTTTATTATTATTTGTATGAACTTAGTATAAAAAATATCCAATTAAAATAGCTATTTGTGTGGTTAACAAGTGAATTGATTTTAGTTAATGTATTCGTAGGATTTTCATTTTTCAAAAATATAACACAAATAGTAGTTGCGGAATGAAAAAGTTCAGATGTTTTTCATTGGTCCAAAGTAAATTTATTTTAATATTTGTTTTGCATAATTTCTATAATCCTCCGAGTTTGAACTTCCATTGTTATTTTTGTATGGCTGATAAAGCACGTGTTCACCTTTTTGAGCAATAATAACACGTCTTTTGTAATTAGCATAATTAGTAATTTTAATTTCCATCTTTGAACCTTACGATATTATTAGCACAGTAGGGTAATTGTTATTTATTACTATTGTCTTCATTATTGTCTTATTCTGTAAAAACTTGAATATTCTTAAACTTATTTGTTTTTTTTTTTGGTTTGATGTTAATGTTTTTTCATGCTGAATTCGCTTATTCAACATAACATATTGAAAAACCTCCAAAGTTGCTTAAATATTCACGATGAAGATGCTCAAACAAAACCCAAGAGCAATAATACTAAGGTTCATACCGAACGCTATTTCCTCAAGGAAATTGACAAGCCCTTCAATCTTTGACTGTGGACGAGAAATATTTCAAGAAAGATTCCCCGGGTATGTCACGGCACGTACGACGATTCTTTCCTTTTGTTTTAAAACGCGGATGCCGGGAATTCTATCATCGTATAAATCTTTTTCTTTAAGCACCGTCTCATATCGATGTGAGCTAGTTTGGTATCTTGACAATTTCTGCATTGATGCCGGAATTTTTTGAAAAGTCGAATTGACAAAATGTGACTAAGAACATAACAAGTTTGAAAATGATGACCTAAGTTATTTCTAGAGACAGATGATGATAATAAAAATGATCACCACACGAGAAATTAATATGAAATGAATTATTATGTTGTGTCTACCGTGATTTGGCAGAGGCGTATAGTATAGGGAATTAGGTATGCTATTTCTCTAAATGCTTAGTAAGTTTTATCGTTAAACCTTCATGCATGTAACACAAAAATATGTTATATTCGCACCTTTAATATTTCTTTACCAAAGATTCCCCTATAATGGCGGTCAAAGAGTAAGCGAGCTAAATTGATATGTGCCTATCTCCCCGTAGTCTCTCCGCGGCTTAGTGAACAAAAGTGCCTTAATATCAGAGCTCACACTTTAGTGACCCATATAATAATGTGGGCCGGGACTCGCGTCTCCGGCGGCACGGAAGTAACCCCCTTTTGGCGCTAAACCACTCCACATCAAACAAGTTAATATAAATGGTGTAAGCCTTTCATTTTCACTTGCGATTTATGTTAGTCTATTAGTGAAGCGAGTAACAACTTCAAAGGACTTGGATTTTAGAAGCTTCTACACCTACGAAATGTTTTATAGATTCTTGTATTTCATTGTGGGGCTTTGTTTAGTTTCATAAAGTATTAATTTTTCTGCTCTGTAGGTTATAGGTAACACCAAAGGTACATGAAAGACTAAGCACGTCTATCTAGTATCAGATTTTATCAGAAACTGTTTTTAAGTGATTCGTTGCTGAATGTCATTTGTTTCACCGCATCCAGCAATACGCTTTTATCCTTGCTAGCCGATTCCCTTTCTGCTCGTATTGTCCGCTGCTGTCGGTCCGAATGCATTTTATAATCTTTGACAAGTCAGCGCCATTTCACTTTGAATATGTCCCAGTTTTTGAATTCGGAAATCGGATTAAACTAGTTTAGGCCGATATTTGGTAAGCGGAGTAGAATAGAAAATTCAGAGTTTTAAGTTAAGTCACGAGTAAGCCAGGACCCATCAAACCGAAACGGTTTTTTCGAAAAGCTCGGTTTTATCCGAACGCCTGGCGACCCTATGCATAGTGTTTCAGAGTGTTTTCCGTTTTGTGGAACAAGTGAACTCTGATTTCGCCCACTTTTCGCTTCGCTCGTAAAACACGGCTAGTCCCAGTCCACTTCGGTTAATTAAGTGGGCACTAAATTTCTAACTAACATACATTAACTGGAAGGCCTAAATCGAACAATCTATTCGAAGCTCTAATATGCTAATATTGGTATGCCCGGCTCATTGCACGTGATGCCAATTTACTGCACTTAGCTGTATGAAGTAACTACCTATTTAGGTAGTTATTTATTATTCGAATATTCAATATTGAATATTCTTTTGTACTTAATGTTTACTTAAGAAATTCCTTGATTTGTTCAATGAAAATTGCAATTGAATTATTCTTATACATAGATCCACGAATAAAGTTATAATTTCAAAATTTTATATCTTGGTCTTGCCTGTATTTCAACTTGCTCATCAGTAAAATCCGTATTTTTATCGTCTTTAAAAATTTTACTACTTAATGTTGTTAGGGTCCTAACGAATATTAGTGTAAATAAATGAAATAGCGGACTGTATAAAAATAGGTGCTGTATTCTCGCCAGCCTAATTTACAATTGATTATCTAGGATACGCGGTAATCGTGCGACGACGGTGGTGTCCCAAAGGCGAGTGTGTGACCCGAGCGCAGCCGATGATGACGCTGTCGGCCCGACGTGACGTTAGTCATCGTACGCCGCCCGCACGTCTCCTCCCGCGCGTTGTTGGGTTCCCAACAATGTTATTTATGTAAGTCTTAATATATCGAGATAAAATAAACACATCTTAATCAGATACCCAATACCTACGTTCAAACCAAATAATCGAAGTTATTTGCGTGTTACAACGTATCCTTCCTAGAAATCGGTCCTTATCTAACCCTACAAATAAATATCAAAACTAAGCTTGATGACACAGGCGTCGACCTGTCTGCCCGCCATTCGAATACCAATCGATCAAAATCCATCGAAGTGTGACAAGTGGAGATAAGCAAACTTTTCAAAAGGATCAAATAGGATACCAGAAATAAACTTATACATAACAATAACTCTATCAACATGCCAAGGGACATCACTATTCTGAACTTTTATGGCACTGTTAAGGTCGCAGAAGTTGAGAAAAGGCGAATGTTTTGATAAAACCGCACCACTGTCACGTTATCAATTTGTTTTGGGTTCCATTTTTTTCTTTTGTAAGAAGAGGCAAAGGCATTATGCCATACAGCCAAGTCTTCAGTTTTTTGTCAATCATGTTTAACAATTGACGATCATTATTATTTATTCTTTTTTGTCGGTGCGTTGTGTTTAACTGCCAGTAAACGTGCAATAAAATTATCGGTTGTAGCAGTGTAGCTTTTCAGGTCACAAGATTCACAACTTTGGTTAGTTTGAAAATCAATTTAAAAAGAGATATAAAATGAACCTTACATAACCAGCATAACATAACAATGGTGAACAAACTGCCGATCGACATTTTTTTCTTTTTATTGATGTTTAGTGTTTAGAACTGCCAGTGACTATTAGCGCAGTTATCTACGGAATTAATAGGACTTCACTTTTAAATAGAGAAATTGGTCATCAAACTTTTTTCTTTTTTCATTGTTTGTTACTAAATAAATGTGTAGGCATTAACGCTTCAGTAACCATAACCGCAGTCTATTAGGCTGCGAACAGCAGTAAACTCGGTACGATTTATAGAATCTCCCTGGAGACAGCCTCTATAACTTAAGTTTTTTTATGTGCCCGCCTCGTTTCGGTTCCCTAATCTTTAACAATAAAATTATGGGTCACGAGAAACATTGGGGTTTCGCTTTTATTGTGGAATCCTTTGGCTTTTAACCCCATTTTCACATTTATTTTAATGCCGTGCTATTTTTGGATTGCACCGCTGGTTTTAACGGGCTCGTAAGTGACATTAAAAGTGGTTTTATTTTTTCTGTTTCAGATTTGCTTTTTTTTACTAACAAAAAAGCATAAAATGTCGATGTATCTCTTGAAAAATACTATAAACTGAGCGACCTATATCGTTTACAACTTAAAAATGATTTTATTAGCAAAATCTGTTTCCCTGTGGTACCTATTTATTTTACTTAAATAAACGTAAAAATATTCTTGTATATTTGAACAAATAAACTTGCTCAACAAATAATTGAACTAACAAACCGAGATATAACAACGAATTTCGACGGTAGTTCGGTAGGCAGTTCCGAAGTCGGTAATAACTTTATTATTATCCTGAATCCTGATCATCCCTGTCGCAGCCAATCTATTTCCTATATTATTTTCGTTTAGTTGAGCAACAA